ATATATATATATATATATATTGAATTGGTGTTTAATCATTGTTTTACGGAAACCTACTTTGTGCAGAAACCAATGTACATCTGTATAGCTACTTTAGCATGATATTTAATATTTTTAATATTAATTATTAATTTAAATATTTATTTTATTAATGTTAATCATTAATTTAAATATTAATTTATATTTATTTTATTAATGTTATATTTAATATTAATCATTAATTTAAATATTTATTTTATTAATGTTAATTTTAATGTTAATCATTAATTTAAATATTAATGTTATTATTTTATTTTATTAATGTTAATTTTAATATTAATCATTTTTAATATTCAGTTTATGTTGTTATTTTCACTATGATTAACTGCTGCCAAACGTTGTTCAAGTATAACATTGAGCTACCGTGTTTGCTATATTAACTTGTGAACATACTTGTGTTAACAAAACATTACAATGATACTCTTCGCCATAATATAACTGTTCATAATCACAGCGACATGTTTGATACAGAAGGTTCACATTTTCTATTCCATCACATCTTTGCCCTTTTTCTCTCAGTCCACCATTTAAACAAAAATAGCTCGTTTTACCTAATTATTAACATATGCTATATACTAAAATAAGTTGTAAACACATAATATAACTGAAGCATAATAATAATTTCACGTGCTTTTACATAAATATTTAGAGCATCATAATTTTTGTTAACATATCAAACATAGAAACTTTCTGTACTCGAGTATCATGTATTTGAAAGCTGTGTGGATCTCAGGAGGAATCAATTGGTGTATTTTTTTCTGTTGTATAAGTAATAACATACACCATTTTTCTTTAAAGTTAGATTTATTAATATTATTAGTTATGAATTTTAACTGATACTACTTAATATTATTATTATTAATTTTTATAATTAAGAACATTATTTTGAATTGTTAGCCTAGTATTTGCATTTTAGGGCTAATCTGAAACCCCTATATTAGTTGAACTTCGTGAAATGTTATCTGAGATTATGTCCGAAAACATCGATAAAAGCTAAATTACTGATGAATCAGTCCACTTTCATCATTACTGGCTTAAGTTTTTATTATGTGTACTGATTTATGTCACTTTAAATGTTTGTTATGTAGGATTAGCTACATGAATTTCTAAATAATTATTTCTGATCTACAGAGTTAGCTTAATTTTGATCAGAAGTCGTTTTTTTCACAACGTAATCCTGATGTGATGACATCAACATGTTGTGATGAAACTGATTATTAGAAACTGTAGTTATGATGTTTTGTTACCCAAAATATCAGACAAGTAGCTCACGAGAAATACCCAACTACTACAGCTAGTACGTACCCAAAAGTATTTCATTTTATAATTTTACGCTTATGTATTTTTTTAGACATGACTCGTTTGATACTTGCAAAATAATATTTTTAATGTTAATTTTTAGAGAAAATTCCTATAATATTTTGATAAACGTGTTTTCTAAGTATTTGTTTTTAACCAAAACTTCTCAAACATTTTATTGCATGTTTAAACCCTTAAGAAATGAATATGATGCACACTGAGCTACCTGCGTTGTAGCCGCCGTATGGATTGAACCCTGAATTCTAGCGTTATAACTCCTCAAGTTACCTCGAAGATTTAGTGTGTGTGTGGGGGGGGGGTATTAGGATAAAAAGAAACAGTTTCACCATGCGCGATAACATGTTAGTGCAACCTAAACTATACATGGTTATTGTTTGACTGGATTGTAATATGAAGACGTCACGTGTATTTATTTCAGTGCAAGTTGTATTTACTACATTCCAGTCAGGCACTAAACATACGTAGATTAGTTGCACTAATAGGAATACACCAAAACAGTTCGTTTTGTTTACCATAGCGGTTCGGTTATTAGTATATATACCCGGCTTGCCAGTTCAGCGATCCAGAGTTCTACCATAGCGGTTCGGTTATTAGTATATATATATACCCGCTTGCCAGCTCAGCGATCCAGAGTTCTACCATAGCGGTTCGGTTATTAGTATATATATACCCGGCTTGCCAGCTCAGCGATCCAGAGTTCTACCACAGCGTCTCGGTTATTAGTATATATATACCCGGCTTGCCAGCTCAGCGATCCAGAGTTCTACAACAGCGTCTCGATTATTAGTGTATATATATATATCAAGGATGCAGGAGCATATAAATGTTTTTAATAGCTCAATTTTTTTTACTGGACGATTTTGCAAAATAATGTATTTATGTATGTATTCGTATAACCCAAAAGATTCGTTCAGAGGTACATTTGCTGCATACAACAAATACACGTGAAATCATCAAGTTGTATTTACTACATTCCAGTCAGGCACTAAACACACGTAGATTAGTTGCACTAATAGGAATACACCAAAACAGTTCGTTTTGTTGGACTGAAACAAATACACGTGACGTCATTAAGTTGTATTTACTACATTCCAGTCAGGCACTAAACATACGTAGATTAGTTGCACTAATAGAAATACACCAAAACACTTCGTTTTGTTGGACTGAAACAAATACACGTGAAATCATCGAACTCTGGATCGCTGAGCTGGCAAGCCGGGTATATATACTAATAACCGAATCGCTATGGTAGAACTCTGGATCGCTGAGCTGGCAAGCCGGGTATATATACTAATAACCGAACCGCTATGGTAGAACTCTGGATCGCTGAGCTGGCAAGCCGGGTTTCGAATCCGTGCGATAACACAAATA